ACACAAATTAGTTAGCATAAAATAAATTAAATGACGAAAAATTAGGTGTCTATTTACTTGTGACCACTCAGTGTATATGTTAACTGTTAGAAATAAAGAAAAACTGAGATTTCGGACATATTGATTATTAAAACTAGAGGATATCTTGAAGCATGTTGATATATTCACCTTTGGGACTAAGGGTAACCCAAACATTCTAGAACGATACTCAACTTCTATATTAGGCTATATGAAAACTACCACACAAAATCAAACAATATAAACATTTTGAAACGTGAGATTGAAAAGGTTACTTTACTGAAAATTTTTAAATCGCTTTCCCCCTTTAAAAACACTCCCTTTAGTAGTAGCTCTGCAGACTTACTATGCTAAAAAATCAGATTTCGGTACACGTGGTGTAGCTTTACGCTTAACAACAACCAAACCAGTACTTTTAAAAAAATGTGTATTTTTACTCATCTATGAATTTTAAGTCTGACTTACAAAGAGAGAAACATGGAACTCTTTTATAATTATTTGTTTCTATTTTTATATAATTTATAACTCTAAGATTTTATTGCTTACTAGCTGAAGTACCTGTCCCCTGGACGGAAGTTATGTAAATTCATGATTAATGAAAGATTTTATATGTGCATTCAAAGGGGAACAAGTAATCAGAGAATTTATGTTCAGGAGGAGGTAAGCAACATTTTAGGCTATTAACTAGATCATTTGTATAGTGTTCGCTAAAAAAAAAACATCACTGAAGTTAAATATAAGCAGTTTACAATATACTTTCATCGTACAAAACAAAAACCTATACAGGCTTACATACTCGTTTCGACAGTTTTATTTCAGACTCATTTAAACTTAAGTTTAAATCCAGTCTTCTCATTAGATCACATTTAGCTTAACTCTAAATTCAGTCTTCTCATTAGACTACATTTAGCTTCACTCTAAATTCAGTCTTCTCATTAGACCACATTTAGCTTAACTCTAAATTCAGTCTTCTCCTCAGACCACATTTAGCTTAATTTTAAATTCAGTCTTCTCATTAGACCACACTTAGCTTAACTGTAAATTCAATCTTCTTATTAGACCACATTTAGCTTAACTCTAAATTCAGTCTTCTCATTAGACCATATAACATTTGTTCTGAGTACCTCTTTCTTCATATCGAAATAACCGCATTACAGAATATTCTAATACTAGCTGGAGTACCCTTCCCCTGGATGGAAGTTATGTAACTTCATGATTAATGAAAGGTTATCTTAGGACATGAAAAGTTGCTTCCGTTATATATAATTTTTAAAAAACGCATAAACGCCCATAAGAACTGCAAAACACAAAATGTGAAACCGCAATTTTGCAAGTATCTCCGCATGGACCCAACAAACATCCATGACAAATTTGGTAAAGATACATCAAAGGGGCGAAGTAGTGGTAGAAAACTCAAAAGCGCCAATTAAAACCGCAAAACGAAAATGCTAAACTGAAAATGTATATGTACCCCTACATGGACCTAATGAACCTCCATACCAATTTTGGTGAAGATCCATCTACATCCTGCGAAGTAGTTACATGGACATACAACAGACAGTATTATTATATTTATATATATTTCTATGAACGAACCAATCTACGTATTGTTGATTGTTCAATTAATGCTGCATTGTTAGACGTCTTACCCTAACGTGATTTCCTTCCCTGTACTCATACGTGTGATAACTTAACTCTATGAAAACTACGAGATTTCGTACAATATCGTTAAAAATGGTCAACAGTTAGTGTTTGTTTCATAGAGCAAAGTCATATTGTGCTATCTACTGTGTCCACCGAGGGGATTCGAAATCCGGATTTTAGCGTTGTAAGAATGTAGACTTACCGGGAAACATGGTCACCAGGTTCCTGAGACTGTTTGCTTTGTTTTCTTGATATGGCTGTTGTTTCAAATTCAGTGATCTTTATAAAAAAAAAAGGTAGGGTCTAAGTTCGTCTACATCGAGTCCAGTGTGGTCTAATGGTTAATGTGTTTAGACTTGAGTCAGAAGGTTCCTAGTTCACGTTCCGCTGCCGCATAAAAGCGCTCCTAATTTTGAGGCTATGGGTGCACTATAAGAGTTATGGTCAAATTCCACTGTTCGGTCAGGTAAGAGTTGGCGATGGGCGCTGGTAACTAGCTGCCTTCCCTCTAGGCTTAACCTTAATGACAGTTATAGGCCCGGCATGGCCAGGTGGTTAGGGCACTCAACTCGCAATCTGCGGGTCGCTGGTTCGAATCCCCGTCCCACCAAACATGCTCGCCCTTTCAGCAGTGGGGGCGTTATAATGTGACGGTCAATCCCACTATTCGTTGGTAAAAGAGTAGCCCAAGAGTTGACGGTGGGTGGTGATGACTAGCTGCCTTCGCTCTAGTCTTACACTGCTAAATTAGGTACGGCTAGCGCAGATAGCCCTCGTGTAGCTTTGCGCGAAATTCAAAAACAAACAAACAAACAATGACAGTTATGCTCAGACAGCCTTTCTGTAGCTTTGCGCGAAATTTCAAAAACAAACAAACAATTGTGTACCTCAAAACTACACTCAAGACAAGAATGGTCCCGATGAATGTCACCAAGGCGATACACTGGTAACTGTTGCCATTTTTATTTCTACTTTAAGGATATAATCTTTAAGACATCCCAACTCTATCATCACCACGTTACCTAAAATTCAATTCAATTAAATTTGCCAAGAAAATACTGTTTAGTCAAATAAATATGCCTTATTTCCATTGTACATATATTTATGTCCAATATATGATAATAAAAATCAGTGTTTTATCCAGATATATCTTCTTGGTTTCTTGTATAATGCCTTTTGACGACTAGAATTAGTATTATTTAGCTTCTAACACTCTTGGCTTTCATATATACTTCTATTAGCTTCATTTATATACAAGATAGTAATTTTAAGTACTTTTCGCCACTACATGTATGTCCCCAACTATGTACTTGCAATAATACGAATGAAAATAACTACGAATTATTCTACGAAATACTGCCCTTACTTTCGCTTTGTCAGCAAATGACAAATTAAACATGTCACGAAACGATGCAACTCTTTATTAGAATATTTGGATACATAGAATCTACGCATCATACTTGTTACTGAAGTGTGTTTTTTATTAGAATATTTGCATACATAGAACTTACACATCATACTTGTTACTGAAGTGTGTTTTTTATTAGAATATTTGCATACATAGAATCTATGCATCATACTTGTTACTGAAGTGTGTTTTTTATTAGAATATTTGCATACATAGAATCTACGCATCATACTTGTTACTGAAGTGTGTTTTTTATTAGAATATTTGCATACATAGAATCTATGCATCATACTTGTTACTGAAGTGTGTTTTTTTTTCGATTTTTTATATTTTAGGTCGAAACTATTGGCGATGCATACATGGTTGTTTCAGGGCTTCCTGTTCGAAACGGAAATAAGCACGCACAGGAAATTGCACGGATGTCACTTGCACTTCTAAATACAGTGAAAAATTTCGAGATTCGCCATAGACAAGGAGAACAACTTCTCCTACGCATTGGAATTCATACAGGTTTGGTATACGGAACGTTATGCTGTTATTTTTACCGTAAATTTGTTTGTCGATATGGATTTAACCTTTTCAACTTACAAAGGTCAAGATGTAAGTGTCATTTGAAATGATCACTAAAACCTGTGTAATATAGCAAGTATATTTTTAATCCACTGCATTTTGGAATTAAAAAATATAAGTAGACGTATCATGATTTGCAAGTGTTATGTACTGGTAGGGTTACGAGGTCGATATCTCTTGGCTTCGGTTATGCACGCAGAATAATGAGACTGTTGGTTCTCAGACGAAATGTTTCGTAATAATATTCATTCCAGTATTTATTGAAGACCTGAGTGTGAACAAATTGTTAGGATCTAAATAAGACAATCGATAATTCTGTGATTTCTATTACTTGGCTTCAGGTCCTTGCGTTGCCGGAGTTGTAGGCCTCAAGATGCCCAGATATTGTTTGTTCGGTGACACTGTCAATACCGCCTCAAGGATGGAGTCCAACGGAAAACGTAAGGGTTTACTGTTCTTCTGTTGACTCACTAAGCAGGTCTGACAAGCAAGCTGACTTAAGTACCTGCATATCTACTGATAATCCTAATATAGTAAACTTAATAGTTGAGGAATAAAATGGTGGGGATTTAATAATAAAATAACTAGGATTACAGAGACAGTGTTTTCTTCATTCGCATATATTCTAAGTATATGAAATATAAATAAAGTCATTATTAATTTTACCTCAGCCTCATTGACTGTTTGTGGACATTATTTTGATATAGAAAAACTTTATTAGTACTTCTTGTTTAGAATTTAGGCGATCGAGACCGATTTCATTGTTAGAAGATTTAAATACAAGTGGAATTTAAATATTTTATATAAATTCGAAAAAAATGTGGATAACAATATATATTGTTTGGTAAACTTCACAGCCTTAATGATCCACATCAGTTTAACAACTAAAGAGGTTTTAGATCAGTGTGGAGGATTCCAAATGAAACTTCGAGGAGAAGTAGAAATCAAGGTAATAATAGTTAAGAATAATCCTTCAGATAAATATTAGGGGGTCATAAAATCCAGATATTATATTTACCTATATAAAATTTCGTGGTAACATCTTCGTCAGATAAACCTCTAAGGATCACTCGCAGTGAAATTTTAAGTAAGCAAATTAAACCAAACTGCACATTGTTTTTGTAGTTCTTGTCTTACCCTTTCCAATAAAACTTTGTCCCATGCTTACCTTACTACTTCTGTTAATATTGTGTATTAGGGAGTGATGTTTTGAAAATAAAAATTTTTGAGACTTGAATAGAGATGATAATATCCTCACATTACTGACTGCCTTAATATGGTTTCAGTTTAATTTCTTTCACCTTCCTGTACAATGTTTCATACTTACTAGGTACCATAACTTTCATTAAATTGCTCAATTATTCTCTCCTTACTTTTCTATATGCTTGAAAGGTTTCGGTTTTTTATGTTGCTTTTTTTTTACTTTCTGATCGCTAAAACAAAAGTTTACTTAACACTTTTTCTTTGTGTTAGTCACTTTTTTCAAAATATTCAGCCACTCTTTTTTTTTTATAAACTCGTTTTTAGTATTAAAGTCTAGGTATTCTTTAGTTTGTCTTATCACTTTCCTAAAACTATACATTCACTCTTTACTTCCTCTCTGATATTTTCTAAAGCAAAATGTGTTTGTTTGTTTGTTTTTTACTCTCTAATTTTGGCCTAAACTGTTCCACATTATTCAGTTATTTCCTAGTTCCAATTCAAAGCGTTTCAACAAACCTCCATGCCTTCCGTTAAGTATTTTTTAAACTAAGATTTGTGTGTACTGTGATTAATTGCCATACAAAATTGGTAGAGAACTTTAAAATGTCGAGAATTACTTGTATAACTTTTAATTATATAAAAGCTTATAGTCATAAGCTCGTTTTAAACAAATTATATTACCTCATTTTAATGACTATGTTTAATTTTTCTTTTGGCTTTTGACGTAGGGTAAAGGTAAAATGACAACTTATTGGCTGCTTGGTGAAGATTCCCCTTCAAACTGAGGTGACTGAGGATACGAAATTTTTCAGAAATGTCAATTTTCCTACTTAATCCCATCAGAATTATTGACGTTTCCGTCCAATGGCACAGATAAAGATAGCTTATGACTCGACCTGACACGTTTTGAAGAACATGATCTCACAACCTTTAGTCAGTTGTTTATTGACAAATGTTAATTTTGTATGTTACAGTAAAATATTAGAACATTTGCTTTAAGTGTGTTATGTAATGAATGTTAACATCAGATCGCTTAAGGTTTCATTTCCAAATAATCCAGAACATCCTTATTGAAAGATGTGGATCTGGCGTCAGTTAAAGACAGCTTTCTTTCTAGTAGCCTGTTAAGGACATATATTTGATTTAGAAAAAAGGATGATAGAAGAAATTAAGGTAAGGTCAAATAAATACCGTTTGCGAGTGGGATGTATCAATTATAATGTTTCTTTTACAGACTGCATCTGCTCTAGCATTCGTTAACCTTCGTGTGTGTTATGTATTATTATATGATATGTATGCTTTAGGCTGATATGGTACGTATATGATATGTATGCTTTATGCTGACGTGGTACGTAAACCTTGCCTATGTATTCCATCTCAAGAATAATTGTGATGTACTACAAAGTAAGTTGAATTATCTTAACTGGACACATGAGAAAGTTCAAATTAATATTTCGTGTGTGCCGTTACTGCTAAGATATAACACTGGCATAGATGTACATAAAAATCAATTTCGCTCGACACAGTTCCTTTTATGATGTCATAAAGATAATCACAATGACGTTATGGGATCTCAGTTTCCATGGAAACGATACCTTTATTTGTACATCACTGAATGGAGCTTTATATAAGTAAGTGGGAAAAAACTTATTCACTTTAATTTCGATTTATAAATCTGCCTTTATATTTTTTGATACTGAAAAAGTGCTTAAAGTTTGGTGCCGTAAAGTGAGCCTAATATGACTCATATTAAGTCCATAAAAATTAAACATATATTATATCTTAAGTTAGTTGAAAAGCTGAACAGCCTCAAAATCCCCAAAAAATGCACATAGCTCTAAAAAACACAATATAAAAGAGGAAAATAATTCTGTTTCCGGTCATCTTGTGATGTCGATCTGATGATAATGCCACATTGATCTAATGGTTTTATAAATATGGTTCAACAGGAAATAATTTATGTAAGACCGATTGTTTTATAACTTATTTGTTTGTTTATAGTTAAGCACAAAGCTACAAAATGGGCTATATATGCTCTGCCCACCACGGGTATCGAAACCCGGTTTCTAGCTTTGTAAGTCCGTAGACATACATACCGCTGTGACACTGAAGGGCTGTTTTTATAACAACAAATTCAGAAACTATGACAATAACTTTACTTAAAAAGCACTTAAGTTATTCCTATTTTTTTCCTGGCTGAAAAACACGTGTTTATCATCAGACTGAAAGAAAGTAAATGGTTCCTTAGAGACTTCTTAACCTTTGGATCAAATATACCATGATGGCGATGGAAAATAATAGTAATTATTTATTTTAATATTACAAATAGACTTATTTTTACTACAATTATATAATATTCCCTAAGAAAGACGAAGTTCAATAATAATATTCAAATATTATTACTTTAAAGTGTTTTATATGCAAACGAAATATTTTGTAAGAATACAAAACAGGTTAACAAAGTTATTATAAAGTGGAACTGTAGCATGTTTTGTTACAACGTTGTATATCTTTGAATAAGACAAGAAGAAGAAAAAAGGCAGCGTGTTTGTAATACACCGAATTCTTATGTAGGTGAGCCCAGGTGATTTAGAATACTTCATTATGACACGACAGGCCAGATTCAATTATACAATGACTATTTAAAAGTAGTAATTGGATTAAAAGGATGGCTGGTTTGGATAAGAATGTGAGGATGTTAATACACGGGAACGATATTCATATAGTGTTGAAGTACTGTCTAAAACTGAGAAGTAACTGGTGATCTATATGACAGTGATAACTATTATACATCATAACACTGACATTGAAGTCGTTTAGGATACAGAACGACACATCAATTAGGATATGCCTACTATGATTGATATATTCACGAATTTAAAAAGCTAGTATGTGGCTATATTCATGAAGTTGAAAAAGGTTAATAGATGATTATATTCATAAAGCTGAAAATGTTTAGTAGGTGGCCAACAGTCTAAATACAGTATTACTTCGATCAAACTCAATTGTAAGTTTATTCACTCGTTGGTCGAAATTACCAGTAACTAAAAACGACCAGTACTTTTATGGTAAAGTACTAATGATTGGAGAAAATATAACTTACTCGTTGCTCATATTAACAGAATAAATTGTTTGTAGTTGTCGTGATTGAATGTATTGTGCCCAATGTACTTAGGCTTTGAAATAAATGTATTTTCTCTCTTTAAGCGAAAGACTTAAAGAATCAGAACACGATTTTCGACGTCACTACACACTTGTTCACAGAAATGTTATTGTTACTTGAACGTGTAAAAAATATTCTGTTATCATCGATTTTGTATCGTCGTAGATACGTAAAAAATACTTATTTCAGAAACTTGGAACATGAATGAGTTTTTCAAATATGAAATTTGAAAGATGTATGCGCCATTTTACACAATGCTAGAGGAGGTGAGGCCAAAGAATCTAATTCAACCTTTAAAAAGCTATTCCTGTCAAAATATCTGAACATACTCATTTCAAGTTTGTTTGTTCGTTTTTTATATATATATATATAAAATTTTAACGAAAACATATCTGTTTTGTTTTCAAAAACAAACAAGAAAACAACGAAAAACAAAAACCCCATTTTTATCATTACGAGAAGTTGCGGATAAATAACAAAATAAATGCTTATTTTTCATATGTTTAGATATTCTGGTATATACTGTTAACAAGGCGGAGTTACTAAAGAAGAATGATCTCAGACTAGGAACACTACACTCTGAAAATCAGTGAAAGTCTGCTTTCTATAACTGATGATTCGCTAAAATGACTCATGCAAACTTTGATTCATTTCTGTTTTATTAATAGAACTAAACAAAATTTACCATAAAATATTTTGACCATTGAAAAATAATACAATTTAAAGCCAAAGAAATTTTATTATTTCTGATTAGACACTGTATTGTTTACCAATACAAAATCGAGTATACTTATGTTACTTTTAAAGGGCAGTTCAACATTGGCAGCGAAATGACTAAAAATGTTAAATTTTTAATAAATTTTAATTAATTGAGCCTTCTAATGTTCATGTTAATATATTTATATTCTCCTAAATATTCGAAAAAGTGAAATTTTGAATTTAGATATCTGTGGATGCAATATAAAAAAATTTATATAATAAAAACTGATAAATAAGTTTCACTACGAAATATATTTTGATATTTTACTAGTGTCAAAATATTCAATGTAACAAAACAATTATTTTACTTGATCATAGAATTACAAACATTTACAGACAAGTTGCGTACTGTTATCATGTCTGATTCATCTGATCCTTATAATAATATCACCAGCAATATGATGTGACTAAATTGAGGAAAGAGATTGGACAAATGTTTCATAGTGAAAACAGTTTATTTACTGCACAACACATAAGTCAACTAAACATTCAAAGCTGTGTATGAGAGAAAAAGATGATTGTACTTCTTTCTTTTAGTATTTGATAAATCTGTGCAAAGTAAAATAATGGATAAGACTTTACAGAATCAACCACTACATATCTTTTAAAGGGTAAAATCTTAGAAGGTAAGTTCGTGATTCGTGTCATCCAATCATTCGATTAGAAAATACAGAAAAGACAAATGCTTCAAGTATTTCTAAGCCTATAAACCAGTATAAGCCCTAAATAATTCTCCAGCGCCTTCTTCCATGGGAAAAATCTAGAAATAATAAAGGGGGTAATGATTTTGACGGTATATAATTTATACAAAAATAAGGCCACTGCATTCCAAATTAGGTTATTTACACGCTTTACATTCAACAAGTGCACCAAATTTTACTTTAAAACGAAATTTTCAACTTTCTAAACTTTCGCATACCAAATTTTGTTAATGTAAGTGGTAATTTTCCCTTGTTACTATGCTATAGTATCGACAATGATGCAAATGGATGTTTACCATACATAAGCAACAATGTAGCTAAAAGTAAATGCATAGACGTTACTGCTTCTGTCATGTTATGTCAGTAGTGTGAGAGACCAACAAACTTTCTACAAGTCAAATAAAAACAGTATATCTATATATATATATATTAAATAAGATACAACTTTGATGAAGTCATACTATGACTAGAATAAAGTAACAGTTTTTCAATGATTACCCAATCATATATTTACTACTCTTCGCGTTGATTGTTTTTCTGAAGTTTCTGAAGTCCAAAGTATGAATATTATTAAAGTATAATTCGATGACGAGGAACCCACTTTGAGACTAATAATGGTTGGAGACGGCTTGAATGGGTAATGAAGAAAAACTGATGATGACAAAACTTTGTACATTTGCTGTTATGTTAAACTTGTATTAAAGTTTTTCTTCACTACCCATTCAAGCCGTCTCCAACCATTATTATTAAAGTATAAACAGTGATAATGTGACTTAGAAAAGTACTTACCATCGTGCAATATATGGATGGACTCCAAAGGTATTAAACAGTAAAAAAATAAATAGATGTAGTTTAGGGTTAAACTACATTAAATCACCATTTAGATATCCTGGCTATTGTCGATATTTTCCGCTATAATTTCAATAATTATACATACGATTTGATTAGTTTAGGAGATTAGAACCATATGCACTACACTCTAGGATAATAATGATAATGCTACTCCATACATTACTCCCATCTTTTTATCGGGACATTCATTGGGTGACCTCTATGAAACAAACAAATTTCTTCATGCAAGCAAGTAACTGTATACGTAATGCTAAAACTATGGAACAATTCATGAATTAGATAATAACCGTCTATGTCATGAAAAGAAACGGAATTTTAAGATTAGCTACTTACAACTAGGTCAAATCGTTTTTGACCAGTCCTGATCAAACTTGACAGGATCAATTTCGAAACGTTTCACTGTAAATAGCTGATCTTAAAATTATTATCGGGTTCATGATTTCTAACATGGGTGTATGTATCAGTTGTATCCTAGTTTTAGGGTTACATGTATAGTTATTAGCTTGCATAAAGAAGTTTATTTGTTTCAAAGAAATCGTGAACTTTTGCGTCTTTTCATGACCTAGACGGTTTTCATTGAGATCATGATGTCTAACGTTAACGTGTGCATCAAATACAGTATCAACTTTGATGGTACGGATGAAATTCTAGATTTACATTATCAATAAATTTCACTCAGATATTTTTTTAAGTTCGGAACTGCAATTTTCTTAATACATGAGAAAGGTGACTAAGTACAACCAGTGCATATTCATGATTAATGATAACAAACTATCATTTTAATATTGAGTCTGAAACAATCCAAATTATCACATGATTAAGTACAATTAATGCAAGTTCAGTTATGGAATAGGACTGCTGAATACTTGTAGGACTTTTCTGGACGAAAATAAGAAACACAAACAAGTTTTATGTAACCATCATATCGAAAGGATTTATATAAGCTCTGTTTTTGACGAGTATTTATCGAGTATTGAAACTCGGAGTCCCAGAACTAAAAACATGATCCGTCTTGAATCAGACGTGTTTCGGATGGATGACACTGGTTTTGACCGGTCAAAACCATTTCAAATCTGTCTTCTCCAGTTTGATCTGGACTGTTCACAAACTTTCTGACCTAATTGTAAATAGCTGATATGAAGTATTTATCATACTTTATTTTAATATCGATGTTTGTTTAAATTAAATTTATATTTAGAAATGTACATAACGTATATTGTTAAATATGTATTACGAAACTCGCGCATATTCTCT